GGCTCTTCACGGCCCCTACTCTCTGTCACCTGTCTCGTTCCTTCCCCTCCCCTCTGCCTTCTCCTCGTGCTTATTACCACTAATTCCTTTTTCCCACCTTTTACCCCCTCCCTCTTTCTCTTTTCTCAGCTCTTCTGTCTCATGCTCCAGCTCCTCACCTCTCTTCCTACCACCTGTCACCTGTCACCTGCACCTTCCCTCCTCTCCCTTCAGGGCTGCCCACTTCTCCAGCCTCTCACCTCCTTTTTCTTCTCCCTCATAGCCTTCGCCTGTGACCATCACTCGCCCTACCTGGCCCTCTATCCCCCTTATATATGGCCCCCCATCCCAAGGCCGGGCATCAACCCCGCCCAACCTGTGTAGGCCCCGCCCCAACCACACAGACCACGCCCACCACAGCCCCGCCCCCGCAGGCCCCCTCTCACCACGCCCCCACGGGGTCCCACCCTCACCCCTGGCCCCGCCCCCGGGCTGGCCCCCGCCCTTGGGGCCACAGGGTCGACCGACCGACGCACAGCAGACGTAGCGGCACCACCAGTCACGTGGTCACGTGACGCGCTCCAACATGGCGGCGCCGTGGGGCCGGGGCGTCTCTTCCTGACAGGGCGGCGCGCACGGACGCGGCCGGTGCCGGCCGGGACGCCTGACCCCTCAGCCTCGCTCCCCTGCTCGCTCGCGCCGCCGGCTCGCGGGGCCGCCGCCCCCGCCGGCCGGGGCCATGCAGGAAAGCCAGACCAAGAGCATGTTCGTGTCCCGGGCCCTGGAGAAGATCCTAGCTGACAAGGAGGTGAAGCGGCCCCAGCACTCCCAGCTGCGTAGGGCCTGCCAGGTGGCGCTCGGTGAGTGAGCCGCCCCGGCCTGGCCCGCGCCGGCCTCCCAAGGCCGGCCGTTACCCCCCGGGCCCCCGGGCCTCCTGGCCTCTGCTTCCCCCAACCCGAGTCCCATTCTCCCGGCTCCTTCCGCCTCCTGCCCCCGGGGGAGCTGCTGTTGGGGCGGCCGGGACTGGCCCAAGGTCACCTAGCAACTTGGTGACAGCCAGAGCTGGTTCTCCAGCCTCCTTGCCTAGGGCCTTGCCACGACTTCTTGTCCCGTTTCCTGGTTCCTCCCCTCAACCATCTCAAGTCTTCAGAAGCCTTTGCTCTTTAAGTTTTCCCTTTACCTGGACTGTTCTGGTTGGGGTTCTCCCACGTAAGCGAGCAGAGCAGGTGACAGAGCTGCCCAGGTGGTGCTGAGGAACCCCAGAGGCTTGGTTTGGAAATGTCCCACTGGAGAACACTTGGGCTCTGAGAGCTCTTCGCCTCGAAGGCATGTAGGGTGATCTGTGTTCCAGGCATTGGACAGTGTGCAAGACATCTATTCATTTTAGGGCGGGTCCCTAAAATAAAGGTTCTGCCCAGCAAAGATACTTGTCTGATTTGTTCAATGCGGTACCCTGTGCACCCATGACAGTGCTTGGCACACAGTAGTTACTCGGTAAATATTTGCTTGTTGAATGGATCCATGGATTATGGAAAGAGAGACGTCTCTGGCTTCTAACTAGGTAAAAGCTTGGTAGTTGACGCCAACATCAGTCTCCTAGCTTTTAGGTACTTATCAAGTGCTGGTGTACCAGGCACTGAGGACATGGCCGTGAAGGAGAAATGGAGTCCTTGCTTACTTCTGTAGACCTTACATTCTGGTAGAGCAGATCAAACAATACTAATAAATACTGCTGTGAGAATAAAAGAGTAAGGAGTGATACCGAGGACCCGAGGTCGGCTTTAGATCGGATGATTAGGAAAGTAGTCCTTCCTGAGAACGTGACGTTAGAGCCCGGTTCTGAAAGGCAAGATGTGTCTACCATGTGGAGTTTCAAGAGGAAAAAGTTGTGGGCGGGGGAGCACCAGAACATTTGGCCAAATCTGTCTTCCTGCTAATTCACCACCCTAATGCCTATGCAATTCCATGTTGGGATCCTTTTTTTTTTTTTTTTTGGTTTTTAGAGACAGGGTTTCTTCGTGTAACAGCCTTGGCTGTCCTGGATCTCGCTCTGTAGACCAGGCTGGTCTCCAACTCACAGAGACCCGCTTGCTTCTGCCCCAGGAGTGCTGGGATTAAAGGCATGCACAGTCACTGCCTGGTCCCCTGTTGGGATCTTTTTAGAGGGACTGTTTTCCTAACAAATTGAATAAATAGAAAGGCAGATTTTCTGTTACAGTCACATTTCTCCATTTGGTACAAGGAGAGAGTTCACTTGAGACCTCGGAATGGACTTGTGAGCTTTGCACTTCCCTGTGGAAGGTCCAGGCCGTGCGTGGGAAGCATTTGAGAACCCGTAGTGCCATAAAGTGTTGTTGGTAGGAGGTGCTGGCTGCCTGTGTAATCCAGAAGCAGCTAATCTTACGAAATTTGGGGTCTGTGGAAGGGATTTACTGAGACCTAAAGTTTTAAATCTTTTCTGTTTTGAAAACCAGGGCTGAGAGTTGGGTTTTGTTTTATCAGGAATGTAGGGTAAGCATTAGAAAAGCAGCTTGTGAGTTAGGCATGAGCCTCAGGTTGAAACTGCCTGCACTCCATTCTTGCCATTTATTGTTCAGAAATTTTAACATTAAATACCACATTGCTAAGGACCTATTTATAAAATTATCGGGTGACCATAACATTGACAGATTATTAGATATTCTTGGATCATGTTTTTTTTGAGAAGTTCAGAATTTTCCAACTCTGTAGAAATGCACATTTGAATTATTGTACGTGTGTGTCCATATGTGGGCATGCATACATGCATGCGCACTACATACACACATGGATGTAAGAAATGGCCTCAACAGGAAGTAACTTGACTCTAGGTTATGTGAAATTGGAGGGATGGCTTGTTGTTACCAGGGATTAGGGAGCTCACACAGGCCTGGTTTAAGGGAGCCATCATTTAAGAGAATAGCCGTGTACATAGTTAGTGAAAAGACTTGCTTTTATTTCTGAACAGTAAAAACATCACAGAGTACGTGGTGTTCCTTCACTCTGTATCTCAAGGCCTTGTCTTGGGTCTGAGTAATCCCACTTAAGAAGAGAAATGTGTTCAGCATGAGTGTGAGGACCAGCTCTCAGAACCCACGTACAGACAAGCCAGTCAAGTGCCGTGGCTGCCTATAGCACAAGCACTTGGGAGGTGGAGCTAGAGGGTGCTTGGGGCAAGCTGGTTAGCTAGCTAGCTGAAAGCTCTGGTTCAGTGGGAGACACTGCCTGGTTCCGTGGAGAGTGATCAAGAAAGACATCCAACCTCAGCTTTGGGCCTCCGTGCACACAGGCGTAGACACACATGCACACATGAGTACACACGTGACCATGCATACCATGAATGTGTACCACATATATGCACAAAAAAGAGGAAGAAATAAGGAAAAATGGATGAAGCGAGGAAGTGGGTAAAAAGTATAATGTGTTTTATTTATTATTTATTTTTTTAAAGCAGGATTTTTTTCTCTTGCTTTGCTTTTTTTTCTAATGATTTATTTTTATTTTATATGCATTGATGTTTTGCTTGTTTATATGTCTGTGTGAGGGTGTTGGATCCCTTAGAACTGGAGTTAAAGAACAGATAGTTGTGAGCCACCATGTGGGTGCTGGGAATTGAAACCTTGGTCCTCTGGAAGAACAGGCAGTGCTCTTAACCACAGAACTCTCTCTCCAACCCCCAAAAGTATAATGTGTTTTAAAGATAATGTGTAGATTGTCATTAATTATGGTAAGAACTGTAAGTGACCAATGAAAGCTGAAGTGCTTGGATGATAAAGAGTCCTTACCAGGAACTGTTTCTGTGACAGGTTTCTGCCAGTTACAGCAGAGTGGGGGGAATGGGGGGGGGCGGTGTTAGGGCTTCAGGGCTGTAGCTCATGTCTGAGAAGCTCTGAGCCTTTTGGGATTCAAGACCTTCTGGGTTCAAATCACCTGCCTTTACTTGCTGTGTTTATACTTAATTTTACATGTTTGTCAGGGTTACTGTTAAGATGAAGTTAGACGAGGTGGTGGTGGTGGTGGTGGTGGTGGTGGTGGTGGTGGTGGTGGTGGTGGTGGTGGTGCACGCCTTTAATCCCAGCACTTGGGAGGCAGAGCCAGGCGGATCTCTGTGAGTTCGAGGCCAGCCTGTTCTGCAGAGCGAGATCCAGGACAGGCACCAAAGCTACATAGAGAAACCTTGTCTCAAAAAAAAAAAAAAAAAAAAAAAAAAAAGATGAAGTTAGTTGGGCCCTCAGCAGATGCTTGCTGCCATGATTGTTACCACAGAGTCTGTAAGCACCCTAATTTGGTGCTTTTAACCTTGGTTAGGTCTTTTAGGAGTTACTTACTGATTTGCTTGGTTTGTAGATAAAATAAATAAGAGTGTAATTATGGGACTAGAGAGTTGGCTTTAGCAGTTAGGATTGTTAGGAGTGGTACTGCCTTTGCAGAAGACCTGGGTTCTATTCCCAGTACATACATGGTGGCTCACAACAGTCTATAACTCCAGTACCAAGGAATCTAACACCCTCTTCTCGCCTCTGTGGGCATTAAACATACACATGGTGTATATATATATGCACGTGTAGACAAACACTCATTCAAATAAAATAAAAATAAATAAATCCTTTCTAAAAAATGTGATTACATGACAGAAAGGCTGTGCTTGTTACAGCGCTGACTTGCTAAGTGCAGTGAAGACAGGAGTTGTATCTTGTAAAAGCGGGGATGATCAGGGTGGAACAGGAGTGACCTCAGTGACTCATCTCTCTAAATATCAATGTACAGATAGATGGTGGTGTCCTTCTAACTCTATCAGGAGAAAGAGTATTCTTCACCCAAAGACACTGTTGCTCTCGCTCCTTCAATGAAGCCTGGATTTGCATTAATAATCTCCAACCTTTCAATCCTCAATTGGGGAATTTGATTCCATACTTAAAATCTTCCTTTTATAATTGTCTTACTTAAGGCCCATCTTTCTCAGTGATGCCTCTTTATATTTCTGTTCTTAAATTGTATGGAGTTTGGAAACTTGACCAAAAAAAAAAAATCTTAAGTGTTTTTAAATTAAATATGGAAAGATTTGTCTACAGTTTAACTGGATCATCTAATGATCCTCTCTCTTCTCTCTCTCTCTCTCTCTCTCTCTCTCTCTCTCTCTCTCTCTCTCTATGAGATAGAGTATTTAATAATTTAATATGCAGAAAGTACTATGAAAGGGTCAAAGTGTTCTGTAATTGCTGTCATGCTCAGTCATCATAAAAATCTAAGAACAAACATGTATCTATTTTTCATATAAAACTGATTCTGTAGTTACATGTATTTGAAAACAGTTTTACACTCTGGTGACATTTCAGTGAAGAAATTGTTTTCTATAGCTTAACTCTAAGATCCGTTTGAAAGCTATGGTCAAAAAGATTGTTTTTCTTTTTTGTGTTTGTTTTTGTTTTTTCGAGACAGGGTTTCTCTGTGTAGTTCTGGCTGTCCTATAACTTGCTCTGTAGACCAGTCTGGCCTCACAGAGATCTGCCTACCTCTGCCTCCTGAGTGCTGGGATTAAAGATGTTCACCATCACTGTCCAACAAATGATCGTTTCTTTCTGCAGCATTTTACTCTTTGTTTTGCTGGGAGGTGGTTTCATATGAACACTGAGCTAGCTTTTTCTGATTCTTGATGTCTGCATTAGCAACACTGAGCTCTGTCCTACAGGTCCTGGAGTGGTGACTGTCTTGGGGTACCCATGCAGTGGGAAACAAAGGAGAGTAGTTTGCCCACAATTGTAGAGTGGGTAGGAAAGGAGGCTGCAACTGCCCTTTATCTAACCTGTGGAGGATGAAGTCCAGTCTCAGCATGCTGCTCTCT